TTTTTGAAAAATATTTTCAAAGACAATTAAGAAGGCTCCACATAACATCATATACATTTTTTTAAAGCATGATATGCAATCATAAAGGTTTTAGTTAAAAATTATCAATTTTATTGACTAATTTATTGAACACAGAATAAAAATGTGATCGATTGACATACTATTTTTATTATAATTACTTATACACAGATTTAAAAAGTTTTTGGATTGTTTGAAAACTTATAAACCTAATGAAATTTTTGATTTCAAAACAATGTAGATAATATAATGATATAATTTATTTGCTACGTTTATGATTTGTAATTATCCTATAATTCCAAATTCTTTTCAATTGACCATAGTTTTCGAGTATTCCCATAAATATAGAGATTATTTAAATTAAAGAGTACTTTGAATTTTTATTTTTCAGTTTAGTAAAGTGATTCCAATTTTTTTAAATGATTGATAAATATTTTAATTTGTATATAATAAATGTTAAAATGAAAAAAGGAAAATATTTCTAATATTTTAAGAAATTTAAATTTAAAAGTAAAAAAGAAAAAAACACGTAATATTGAAAATAAATAAAGAATAGGAAAGAACAAAAAAAATTATCATGCTTCATGGTAAGAATTTATAATAGATATTCTGGAAAATTATTTGGCTTACTATTGTTAATAGTTCTAGATATATAATTAATGATATTAAAATCAAAACAAAACAATACTCACAAAAACAATGAGACAAAATTTAAATATGAACATCAAGATACGATGAAATGCATATCTATTAAAAAATATATCTTATGTCACTTTCAAACATTATGAAATTTTTAAAAAAGAAAAATCATGGGCAGGAATTGCCCAAAAAATTTCAAAAAAACATTTTTCATAAGTAGTAAAATTTGAAAATTTGAACAGGAATCGTTATGCTATTTTTATATTATTTCTTACTGCAATTATATAGAAATAGATATAAATAAAGTATTACTAGTTATTTATATGCATATATCAAAAGTCTAGTTATTTACAACAATGTCACCAGGTGTTTGACTAAAGTTGAATCCTTTGACCATGCTTGGAGCGATACTATAATTAATTTTTATTTATTTCACTATTCCTTTATCTAATTCATCTTATTTTCCGGAATTTTCAGGGAAATGTTAAGATCCCGTTACGGAACCATTCTGTCGGGTTTGCAACCATCAAGGATAGTTGATCTAACGGTTGCAAATCCCGACGAATCTTCCCAATTTTCACTTACACCCGGTCATCACTCCATAAATGTGGTTGGTTTATATTCTATCCTAAATAAAACTCCACTTTAATAAACTCTAATTCAACACCCCAAAATCCAAATCAAGAATACAGGAAAAAAAAAAGGAGCAATTGTGGTCCAGAAAAATGCAAGAACCAGAGTTCCTCCCTCAAATTAGTCAAATTCTCATGCCCTGCAGCAGATTGGCCGGCGTTTCAAACTCGCCGGAATTCGAATTCTGCAGCTCCTCTTTCTCCCCGCCCTATCTCCTCTCCGCCGACCAGCTCTTCTCCGGCGGCGTACTCCTTCCCCTCCACCACCTCTGCCTCTCTAGCGACACTCCTCCGCCGCCTCAAGATCCAGAGCCATCCGCATCGGATCAAGCCCGGGCCGATCCCAGGCCCGAAGTCCCATCCGCCGGATCGGCTCAACTGACTCCGCCCGCTCCTAGTACTCTGTCCTTCTCACGGCGGTTGAGCGACATTTTCCGGCGGAACAACAAGAAAAGCCCGCGGTCCTCCGTGGACTTGGACGCCGAGGATCTGACCGGCCCCAAGGAGAAGGATACGATGGTCAATGCCTTTAAGGAGAAGAGGAGAGAGAGGAAGAACGGCGCCGGCGGTGGTCCCACGGCGGCGGAGCTCAACATCAACATATGGCCGTTCTCGAGGAGCAGGTCCGCCGGGAACGGCGCATCCCGGCCGCGTACCCCGGCGGTGGCGGCGATGCGGAAGGCGAGCAGTGCGCCGTGCTCGAGGAGCAACTCGGCCAGCGAGTCGAAGTCGAGGAGGTGGCCGAGCAGCCCCGCCCGTGGGGTCCACGTGGGGAGGAGCAGCCCAGTGTGGAAGGCCCGACGCGGCGGCGGGAGGCGGAGCTTCGAGGCGGCTGTCAGGAAAAATTGGGGTGAGGGTCGCCGGGAAGTGCTGCCGCCGTCCGTGAACGGAGGAGGCCTCAGCCGTTCTAGGTCTAAGTCGTTGAGTCTGAATATTCCGACGTGTATTGGGTACAAGCAGCATTCGAGTTGTCGAAGTGCGGGGATCGCCACCGGCGAAGGGGTACGAAGACGTAGTTTGTTCAATATAAAAAGTCTCTTTACCAAGAAAGTGTATTAAGCCACTAGTTTCGGTTTTCCTTTTATTATTATTATTATTTTTTATTTTTTTTTCTGAATTTTCAGTCAGCATTAAAACAAGAAAAATATTTCGATATATATTACATTAATCAGTTTTAATAGTTAATACTTGCTTCCATCTTATTATTTTGGACATTAATTTTTTTTTTTGAAAAAAAAAAGAAACACCTCGAAGGTAGGGGTTAAGGCTGGACCACAACTTGTATATAGTCATGCCTAAAATGGACTGCAAAACAACAAATCTACATGTTCAAACATCAAACAAAACAACCAAAGCCAAAAACAAAAGAGAAGGAAAAAGAAAAACAACAACCAAAGCGAAAGATCTGAAACTGGACTGGCAGGTGCCCAGACCAACAGTCTACGCCATGAGTGGACTAAAGTATGAAAACCAAAACGACTATCCAAATCTAAACGATGGATAAAAATTTTGAATCATCCGTACAAGAGTACGGAGGCGTAGAGAAGCGTAGCTCGGCTGAAGGATGCACCTCTGGGGAGTGGAGGCATCGATGCATACGAGGAAGTCAACGGTCGGTTCCCTTTGCGGAAGATGTGCGATATCCGGTATCGGAATTTGGGACTGCAAATTAGCTATGCATCATATCAATAACATTTATTTCCTTATTTTATTTTGTTAGTATCTATGTGTATGTATATATATATTGAAAGAGAGTTATGGTAAGCAGTTTGATGTCCCTTAAGCAAGGTCTCGGGTTCGAGTCCTTGTGAATGCAGAAAACCCTTGTTGGAAGACTCATTCATCGTAGTAAAACTATTTTTAATAATGCTATCATGCATCCCACCGCAACGTGCTAGTTTGCCTGGGCTGCCCATGGTCGAACATGAACAGTAGCTTTCCTAGTTTGTTTCCATTTAGTCAACTGAATGGCCAAACAAGATTACATTTAATCATTTTACATCTTTTTGAACAGCCAACCAATTAAAACTCCACATTAAAATAGTATGGGTGAGAAAAATACAGAAAAGTGTTATCTGTCCATCAACTAAAAAATGAAATAGAGAGGTAAATTTTGCTGCCAACCATTTAACGAGCTTGGCTTCTTCTTATCCAATTGGCCTCCATGAGCTCTCTACACCTTCTCTTAGTGTGGGCGAATGGCTTCAATATGATATCATCGGGTGTCGTATCCCCGACGCATTCTTGTCTAATTATTAAGGCATCTGGCCTCCTTCTTTGTACAAAAAATAAAATAAAATTATTTACTTATTTTATTCTCTTTCATTTTCTTTTTAATCCCCCATTTTTCTTAATATAATTTTAAAATTATGAATCGGTTATTATTAAGCATATCTCTATATTTTTTTTTGTTTATCGAATCACATATTTATAATTATCTTTATCACCGTACTTTTTTTATTACATTATAATTAAAATTATTACTCTTCACGTCACACATTTTGAATTATAACAACCATTAGTTTATACAACTCAATCTTCAAGCATGGGTCTAACTTTGCTCTCCTTGGCAGACTTGGAGCCCTTTTTTTTCTACCAAAATATATCCAATTGCACCCATATTTTCTAGTCTTACAATACAAATCTTTCTATCCCATTCATTTTTCATTAATTCTAATAATACATGAATCACATCCAACGTCGGGATGGAGAAGATAACATATATCATTTATTTTTCACCTGGGAGAGAGTTTGGAAAATAGCCAATTTGCATTGGGCTAGGTTGCAGGATGTTGACATTTGTTTCAAAGATTGGTGGGAGGATCTTCGTAAACTGAAGAGATCCACTCACAACAGTAACAAAATTGTTATTTCTACATATTTACTGTAGTGGATGTGGAAAACGAGGAATGGTTGGCTGTTTGAGAAGGAGTGCTATGAGGTAATATTGGTAGAGTTGAGGTGGGATTGGAGTCTGTGCCAAGATAGAGTTTAGAGTTTGAGGGTTTTGCACTCTGTCATTACTACATGCAATGATGTTGATGGTGAGCAGAGAGCAAGGTTGAACTTGGATTCAAACAATGCTACTGAGACATCTTCAGTGATCATTGAGGGGAAGCATCTAGCTTAGGTTGATAGGAAGGTGGTGGCCCAATGGTCATAGTACTCCTAGGAAGGATTATACCATTCTTTCAATGGAGGAGGAACTATTGGAGGTGAGGAGCAGTCTCGAGGAAGGTGTGCAGTGACAGTGACAGAAGGTAGATTTACATTTCAAACAGCAAGTTGGCGCTAAAGCTGAAGAACAAGGAACAGTTTGAGTCCTCTTTGTGTATTGTTGCTGGTGATATCTTTGTTTTGTGTGATAAGTTCTTGTCTGTAGATTTATTGTGTTGTAAGGAGTTGCGTTTGTGTAGGGTCCTTTTGTGTTGTTGGCGTAGTTTGTGGACCGATGTGGTCGTTTAGGGGAACTAACGTTGAGCTTTCCCCCGTTTAGTCTCTGGTCGATGTCTGTCATGATCGGGGTACTGTTTATAATTCTTTGGTTACCGGGTTGTGTAAAATTGAGTTAGTTTAATGAATTTATTGTTTGAGAAAAAAATACTATTGTAACGCAGTGAATAAATGTCACTAGATGCATATAAAGATAATATAAATATTGTTTGTTTTATATATTGAACAAAAATTGTAGTAGTCAACACTAAGCATGATTAGGGGAGCTATACACATATGACATAATTTGCGGTGATATTAACTTGGTCTAGTGTTATGCATCCTCTTGATTTCAACCCAAATTTTTACATATATTATCTAGGAAATGGCTATTTTTATTATCTAGGAAATGGCTATTTTTACAGTTTCTGAAGACAAAATAGGTTTTACACCACCGTCAAATAATAAGTTAGTTTTTTCACCTCATAAAAATGCAAAATAAATTATATGATAAACTATACGACATACTGACAAAGATAATTAATAAAGCATGAAATAATTATGCGAGAGCATATGCAAATTAAAGATGAATATAATTATTAAAGTGCAAAATAATTGTGCGATAACAGCCGGACATAATTGATAAAATGCGAAACAATTGTGCAATAAACTATGCAACACACCGAAGATAAATGATAATAAAGTGCGAAACAGTTATGCAATCAAGTATGCGACACACCGAAGATAATTGATAAAATGCGAAACAGTTATGCAATCAAGTATGCAACAGACATAAAAAGATAATTGATAAAGTACGAAACAATTATGCGATGCACTATGCGATAAACAAGAGAAAATAAATTGATAACTCATAAAGAGCGAAATAGTTATGCGGCAAACAAACGAACATTAATTAATAAAGTACAAAACAATTATGCCATAAACTATGCGACAGAAATTTAAAGATAATTGACGCAATAAATTATGCAACAGATCGAAGATAATTGATAAAGTGTGAAACAATTATGCGGTAAACTATGCGACAAATCATAACATATATAATTGATAAAGTGCGCAGCAATTATGAGATAAAATATGCGAAATAAATGCGAAGATAATTGACAGAGTGTGAAAAGATATGTGACTGACAGACAAAGGTAATTGATAAAGTACAAAATATTTATGCGAAAAAAATATGCGACAGATAGGCGAAGATAATCGATAAACTGCAAACTAGTTATGCGATAAACTATGCGACAAACAAACTAAGATAATTGATGCAAAAACTATGCGACAAACAAATGAATATAATTGATAAAGTGCGAAATTGTTATGAGATAACCTATGCGACAGACATACGATGATACTTGATAAATTTGATAATATTATGTGATAAACTATACAAACGAATATTGATAAAGTGCAAAACTATTATGAGATGAACTATGCAACAGAAAGTCGAAGATAGTTTATAAAGTGTGCAATATTTACACGATATGACATACGACACACAAGCGAAGTTCTTTGAGTAAAGTGCGAAACACATTATGCGATAAAACTTACAACAGACAAGCGAGATTAATTGAGCAAGTGAGAATTACTTATGCGATAAAGTATACAACAGACATACAAATATCATGAGCAAGTGCGAAACAAAGTATGCGATAAGTATGCAACAAACAAATGAAGTTAATTGAGAAAGTGCAAATTACTTATACAATAAAGTATGCGACAGACATACGAAGTTCATTGAGCAAGTGCGAAACAAAAAAATGATGCGATAAAGCATGCAACAGACATGCAAAGTTAATTGAACAAGTGCGAATCACTTATGCTATAAACATGCAAAGATAATTGAGCAAGTGAGATCTCATTATGCGATAAATTACGCGACAGATCACAGGCGAAGATAATCGAGCTAGTACGATATCATTAGGCCATAAACTACGCGACATACATGCAGAAATAATTGACAAAGTGCGAAATGTTTATGCGACAACTATGCCACTGTGAGGAAGAAAATTGAAAATTTGCAAAATATTTATGCGATAAACTACGCAACAACATGTCAAGATAATCGATAAATTGCAAAATATTTATGCGTAAACTACGCGACAAATAAGTTAAGATAATCGAGAATGTGCAAACAGATTATGCAATAAACAAGGTGAGAGGTAGGTGAAGATAATTCAACAAGTTTGATTTAGTTATACGATAAAATAAGTGACAGATAAGCGAAGCTAATTGAGGAAGTGCGTAAAGATGTAGAAATTGTGTGAACACATCGGTCAATCGCGGGTCTGTCGCATTTTAGTCACAAATCAACTTCTTACATTTATTTTTATATTTTCCCAATTTCTTCTCAATTATCAATTTTTTCGTGTAAGCCTTAGAAAGGTCATAAGATTGGAAACGTTGTACTAAAAACACGCAAAGAAGGTTTTCAAAATCTTGAATCTCCAAATTTTCTAAAAATGGAAATCCTCAAAGTAATGAAGTAGAGGATCTTGGGTCATGTCGGGTTTAACAACTGGAGGAACCTAATGAAAAACGATAGAGACAACGACTTGTATGAACTGATCGAGCATACGCTGATCAATGACGAGAAATGTATGTGTATTTTTCATTTTAGCTACATACATTTACATTTTTTAATCTTTCAATTCATATTTTTGTATTTTTGTGGTACGAGCAATCCAATTATGAAAAAACGTGTTTCGTTATATTTTATATTAACTAATTATGAATGCACTACGTTACAAATAGTATTATTAAAGAATGAGATGACTTGGGTCTCTTCCAGCTTAACCGGTGGTCTCGTGTTCGAGCCCTGAGAATGCAGCAATGTTAAAAACTCTTGAGAGAGAGCTTTGCCGCCCTTGTGGTCCTACCCGGCTCGATTCCGGATTAGTCGATTCCCCTGTGGATCCGGAAACCGGAAGGTCCCTGTACCAAAAAAAAAGAATACATATAAATAAATAAAAGCAACATATAAAATGGTGTAGAATTTTTTGCAAAGATATTTTGAAGAAAGTATCGTTTTGGTTTACAAAGATAATAGGGTTATTTTTTCGCGATTTATTGTAACAAGCCATATCATGAAAGAAAATATATAATGTGGGGAAATGCTACGGTCCCGTTACGAAAATATTTCGTCGGTAGTTTTTACCGTTAAATACATACACATGTAGTTAGTATAAGATAAATGATAAGTGTTAAAATACTCTATGGATGGTTCTACAGCGGGATCATAACATTTCCTATGGACAAAAAAATCCATTGAACCTCGACTATAGTATTTTCCATTAATAAAAATAAAATTTTGGATTTTGCATAAAAAAAATGGCCTAATTACGGACCTCCCAAGTGCAGGAAGAGTTTTATCTTCTGCTTGTATATTTAAAAATTCTCCTTGTATACTGAAGACAACACTAATCTGCAGCTGACCGCGCCTCCTCTGAATCTTGCGCGCCACGACAACGCCGGTGTCCTTCGCCGTCTCCATGGCGTCCATCTGCCGTCTCGCTCGAACACTCCGGTCGTGCCGTACGATCTCATCCGCCAAAATTATAAACCCTCGTCCTCCGTCCTCCGCGTCTCGTTTCGCATCAGTCTTCAATCGTATGCTAAACCTCTTTTTCCCTTTTTTGCTCGTAATCAATCTTGTCGATTTCTATTTAGGAACTGAATATTTGCTTGTTGAAGGATGTTTCTGTTTTAATGCTTTCATAAGGTGTACGATTTTTAGCTCGGTAGCTGTTCTTGAAATGATAGCTGAATATTCGCCTCAGTGGTTGTTCCTGCTGTTGGGTGGGAAAAGCTGAAATCTTTCTGAAAAATTATGCCTTCTTAATTGCTTTGAGAAACCTTGTTTTACTGTCAACTGTGTTACTGCCTCGATGATTGATAAATTTCTTCAATTAAAACCTTTTTTACTTGAGTTTTATGAGGCCCTCTCGATAGTCGTCGAATTTAGATTGATGTTTATGTTGGATACATGAGTCCCTAGTAAATAATAGTGCTTCTACCCTTTTGCCAACTGCTGTGGCAGCTTAGTTGGTACTCCAGAAACCTAAAGACATTCATAATGGAAAAATACTACCTTGACATAATTTTAGACATAATGGTTGAAATAAAATTGTGTGTAATTGTAAAGTTTATTGATTTAAATGATGATGTGATGAGTAAGACAAGAAGATACTGCGTGTATAACGTCAAAGTGCATGTCCTACATTCTACCTAGTAAAGCATTTGTCTTGGACATAGAGAAGTGAACAATTTTTTATTTTCAATTTTACGCCTAAACACCCATAAAACTCCATGTATTGTGTCCCTTTTCTGAAGCTGATTTAACTTGTTATGTGAGAGGTCATATAAGATTATTGGTGGACCAAGTTACTCTGTCTACATTATCGGACTAGTTGAGTGGTTGTACTGTGCTATAAATACGAGAGGCTTCTAAATTGAATTTTTTTAGGGAAGAATTAGGGTATATGGGTGGAATGGTTGTATGTTATCATCAGTAATTTAGCATCATTTAAACGTTTTCTACTTCAACATTCACATCATGTGGTACATGTCTGAATATTCATGTCAGGCAAGCTTTAAGCTGATCATTACTTGTATGGATTAGCTGGTGGTTACTATACATGTGCTGCCAGAAAGTCATTTGGGTTAAATTCTTACTCACGTGCCAGAACTGTGACCAGTAACATGTTTCATATTTATACTGCATCTGCTTCATCCTCATAGGCTAATGATTTCACCAAAAGACAATAGGATACTTCTTTTGCTTTTTCGATTCTCTGTAAACCTAAATTGGTTTAATGTTGTGAATTTTCAACATGTGGGCGTGGATCGGATTTATTTGCACCTCTCATTTCTGTATTCTGGCTACATTTCCTTTCTTCGTGCAATGAAAATTGAACCCCAATTATTAATCACAAGGGCTTCTAACTGTACCATTAGGGAGTTTTAAGCACCATGAAGCGTATGGATCCGAAGGTCTGATACCAGATAGAGTGCGTCAACTTTCTTTTCACGCGGTATTAGCTGGATTCCTCGGATTTGGGCTGTTAGATGTAGCCTTAGCTGATAGTAATGAGGTTAGTGTGCTCATTCTATTTGTCCATGAGCGTAATGAACTATCCATTTTTTATGTAGCCTTTATAGCGTCTAAATTTTTCTATTGACTTTATCACAACTCATTAGAATGTTGCATATTTTATAGCCAACTGCTAAATTTCCACCTCCGCTTGAATCCACTGCTACTCCACCAATGAAGTCTCCTCCTGTCTCAAGTCATCATGACCTGGAAGAAATCGCGAGGAAGGATAAAGCTCGACTAGAAGAGTTTCTTAAGAATAAAGGAGCCCGATTTGGTTCATATCCTCGATTTACAGTTTCTGTAAAGGGACAAAAGGTTGGTACGCTTCTTTATGGCTTTTTTGGGGATCTTTATGTGCATCCATTTCTCTGTGCTTCAATTATTTGATGGAAATACCAGATCAAGTTTGATTTACTTGGTTCTCAATCCGGTTAGATATCATCCGGAATTTAAAGTGAGAGTGGGATTTGTTGGCCTAATAGGTGCTTATTGGCAGGTGACAATCAAGTTTGTAGTTCCTCCATCTTGTGAAATCCCACTATTAATTACAAATCTTGTCTCACGCCTCGGAGTCAAGGCTGAAGACAATGGTGTTGGATCAGACATGGCACTGCGTGCTTGGGACAGGTGGCTTAAATATTAAATTATGCATCTATCAGTTTGTTTTTCCTACTGAAACCTTCATTCTCTTGAGAGTTGATTACTTGAATTATGTATTCTTTAACCAGTGGGGTTGCCTGGCAACTAACACTCAGTTGTCCAAAAGCACCAAAAAGTACCAGTGGAGATCGAGATCAAACAAATGATAAAACCGAAAATGATGAGTTATGCATTCTCATGTTTCGTCCGCTCATTAGTTCCGAGAAAGCTGTGAGTACTTCTAAATGAAAAGCCGATCCTTTACCTATCACATTTTTTACGTCGTTTTATATATAACCTCCTTTTTTTAATAATAATCGCTTAGCCCTAAGGAATTTTAATGAGTACCTTGCCTAATTGCAGGAAATTGAATTCATGAAGCCGGGGAGTTTTACTTCGGAGGAGCTTGATGCTTTGGCATCCATATTAATGTTAGCAGGACAGCCAAAAGGCTTGGAATTAAGACCAAAGGGTGATGCTGCAAAGGTACCAGCAAAGGACAAAACAATTGCTAGTCTAGAGGGGATGGGTGTCAAGATTTATGGCCTTCAACAATTAGATGCAGAACAGCCAAAAGCTGATATCACCTGGGAAAATATTGCTGGCTATGATGAGCAGAAACGGTATTAGTGGGCTCCTAACTCTGTGTACTTTGATGTCTATTGCTCTAGCTGTTTCTGAACTTTTCAGAATTGCTGTTTCAAAGGAGTTTGTACTTGCATAATTTGAATTAAAAGCTCCTCATTAGGGCTGTTAAGGGTTTTTTTTTTTTGGTTTCCTTTTTCTTTATTAAAAAAAAAAA